CTTGGTTGCGGAGCCTCACCCAAGGGCCAGAGTCTCTTCCTCTGGGCATGGAGAGCTTCCTCCACAGCGCTGCCATTGGGAAGGCACGAGAGAGGGACGTGATAAAGTGTCCCAAGAGATAACAAGGGTGAGGTGAAGTCTCGGCCATAAAGAGCGCTGGGAGTGGGGTTTTGGCTGAGGTCCATCGGGACGTGGTGTCCCAGGCTCGGACAGGGATGTTGTAAGCAGTGAGGAGGAGGCACGGGGCTGTCCTGGGGGCAGGTGGAGGCAGCTCTTGGCCAACAGCTTCCCTTGCTCCTCCCTTGTGTGAGCAGAGCAGAGGGGGAGCACTGAAGAATGAAACTGTTCCTTCTCACATTTTCTTTCCCCTTTTTTTCTCCAGATGGGGACGGCTCCGTGATCCTGAGACCTGGCAACAAATACGAGTACAAGTTCGGATTCGAGCTTCCCCAGGGGTAAGTCCTGGATGGAATGCTGCTTCCTAAAATGGGATTGGGATGGAGAAGAGATCTTCTATTGCCTTGGTTGGGCCTGACGAGCTTCTCCTTCCACAGCCCCTTGGGCACTACCTTCAAGGGGAAGTATGGCTGCGTGGATTATTGGGTCAAGGCGTTCCTGGAGCGCCCGTCCTTCCCCACCCAAGAGATCAAGAAGCGCTTCGAGGTGATGGACCCAGTGGATGTGAACACTCCAGAGCTGCTGGTAAGTTCTGGGTGTATCCAGGCATCCCAGGGAGAGGAGCCCTTGGGTAGGGTCACTCCGACCTCTATGGCATTAAGGCTCTTCTAATGGGCTTTGCTGCTGAGCACGGATTAAATACTTAGTTCTTCAGAAGCCCTAGTTGTTACTAGCAGTTTACACCAGGGTGGATAAAGGGAAGTGCTTTTTTCACTGTGAGACATGCAAATCTCATAGGGAATTGGCAGCATTGCTTGGAAAACCCAAAGGGGCAGGATGGGAACAGTGAGTGGGTTCCATTGGGATAACAGTCCCTTTCCTCCACAGTCCCCAGTTGCTGCCAAGAAGGAGAAGAAAGTGTCGTGTATGTTCATCCCTGACGGGCGCGTGTCGGTCAGCGCTCAGATCGACAGGAAGGGGTTTTGTGAAGGTAAGAGCCTCTTGGAGCAGGGGACAAGTGGGGCTGGGAGGTGGTGGGGGGGGCACAATGGAAGTGGGCATGCCGCAAGGAAAAGGCTCCAGCCTCAACACTCAACGTGGTTCCTTTGCCAGGCGATGACATCTGCATCAATGCCGACTTCGAGAACACTTGCTCACGCATCGTGGTGCCCAAGGCAGCCATCATCGCCAAGCACACCTACCTGGCCAACGGGCAGACCAAGGTCTTCACCCAGAAGCTCTCCTGCGTCCGTGGCAACCACATCATCTCAGGCATGTCCGAGTCCTGGCGGGGCAAAACCATCCGTGTCAAGAAGCTCAAACCTTCTATCTTGGGCTGCAACATCCTGCGTGTGGAGTACTTCCTGCAGGTGAGCACCGCGGGACCCTGCTTGCTTGGTGGGTGAAGCCTTGGTGGGGGTGTCCCCATCCTTGCATCCCAACATCCCTTACAACCCCTGCTCTCGCCCTCACAGATCTACGTCAGTGTCCCAGGCTCCAAGAAGATCATCCTGGAGCTGCCCCTGGTCATCGGCAGCCAAAAAACCAGCATGTCCAGTCAGGCCAGCTCCGAGATGAGCTGGGTGGACTTGAACCTGCCCGATGCTCCAGAAGGTGAGCGGTGAACCCCACAGCTCGGGGTTGGGGGGCTCAGAGAGGGGGGTGCAGCAGCGAGCTCACGGCTCCCTCCATCCCTGCAGCGCCTCCCTGTTACCTGGACATTGTCCCTGAGGACCATCGCCTGGAGAGTCCCACCACGCCGCTGCTGGACGACACCGACAGCTTCGACAGCCCCATCTTCATGTACGCACCCGAGTTCAAGTTCATGCCACCACCCACCTACACGGAGGTGAGTGGGGCAAGGCTGATGGGATGGTGTTCCCACTGGGATGAAATAAATCCCGTGGGATCTACAGAGCCTCCTCTCTTTCCTCCTTCAGGTGGATCCCTGCATCGCCAACAACAACGTGCAGTGAGTTGAGGGCGACTTTTCCTGCTTTTCCTGGGCTGCGGCGGCCCGCCTTGCGGTCCCCGCGCCCTGCCCCAGGCAGTGGGCATGGAGGAGGTGCTGCAGTGTCCTCCCGAGCCTGGGTGTTCCCTCGGGACCTCGCCTTGCTGCCGGAATCCTGCGGAAAAACCAATCCCGGACTCCCGAGGTGCTTCTGTGGAAATGGGGGAGCCTCGAGGTGCAGTTTGCAGAACCAAGGAGGAGAAGAGGCAGGTCCAGCCCAAAGAGACTTGATTCCAAAGCAAAACCAAGCCAAGGACACTGTCCATAGGGATATTGAGCTGCCTCTGATCCAATTGGATCCACCATCCTCAGGGACCTCGGTTCTGTGCCGGGATGTGCCATGAAAATAGTTGGTTGTTGCTCTTGAGCGTTGTTGCTGCTGCCACAATGGGGAGGCCACGATGGAGAGAGGCCTCCTGTGGAGGCTGAGTTGTTCCAGAGTGCTGGAACCAAACTCCATTACCTCTTCCCTGGGAAAAGGAAGAGCTCTGGAATGCCTCCAGTATTGGGCATACGGCAGCAAGTTGTTTTTGTACTGGTTTTGTAGTTAGTTGGGGGTGGGGGGAAGGAAACGGACTCTTTTGTACCACTGACACCGTGTGCCCCTGTGGGGTGACGTTTGTAATAAAGATCCAGTGAGATGGTCACAGCCTCCGGAGTCATGGAATGGGTTGGGTGGGAAAAGACTTCAGCCTCGTCTGGTTCCACGGGCAGGGACACCTTC